AGTGGAGTGGAGTGGAGTGGAGTGGAGTGGAGTGGAGTGGAGTAGAGTAGAGTAGAGTAGAGTAGAGTAGGAGTAGAGTAGATCAAATGTTTGTTAAAATTCACAAACAGCAAAGTTCATAGTGGATAATTTGATACACATTTGAAGAATAGAAAGAAAAATACCAAGAGCATTAGTGTTATCACATCAATAGTTTTTGTAGTGATAGAAAGAGGTATATTGAAGTCTGACCAATTCATTGTAACCAGTGAACAGTTGCAATGAAGTAACTGTTAATTGCAATGACCTGTGCTCTGTTATCCAGGCAAAATCCTGGTGTGGTTTTACAAAGTTGAACATAGTGCTTCTTACCTTTTTCAATTGAAATTTTCCCTTTAGGGCATGGAAAGCAATCATAGCAGCAAAATGGCTTCCCCTCCTGCTTCCTTTTGAAATATCCAGGGTGGCAACTCTCAGAACAGAGTGAAACAGGTGGGGTCTGCCAAATAAATAAAGAAGGGAAATGTTAGCGTTCAATTAAATAAAAATTTAAGGAACTTTCTTTTAAACTGGAAAATATTTTATCCACAGACCATGTCAAAGTTGTTTCAATGGGGGACTGATCAAAACTGGCGTTTTTTCCTGTCACTTCACTTCTCACTTTGGATAACAGAGATATTTAAAATAAAACTTAAATAATTTAATATATTTTCCAGAATTATTTTTTAAATTAATTGAATCTAATCAAATTGTATGGAATCTGAAAGGTGCTTTTTCAAAAGGTAACTGGTCTTTTTTCCCCTTTTGATTGAGGAAGAAAACATTTGTTTCATTGGCTCTAGCAGGAAGGTGGGGGAGGTTAAAGGTTAGTTCTGATGGGATTGTGGAAGAGGGTTGTAAGGATTATATTTGCCTAGTCTCTGATACAACTATGACCTGAATAACTGAAAGTCTCCACAAACAAATGGTACAGAATATAATGAAACAATTTACAAGAGGATAGTAGATAGGTGAAGATGACAGACCTAAAAAATGAAATACAGGTACTTCTTCACTTATGACATCAACTAGGACTGTAATTTGCATAACTAAATGAGGTGTCATTAATTGAATTGCACCCAAATTTATGACTCTTTTGCCATAATTTTGGCTTCCATTGTTGACTTTGCTTTTTGGAAGCTGGATGGGAAGTTAGTGTTGTGGCCCAGCAGGAGCTGTTGGAGCTGCTGATGGACTCCGATAGCGAGGACCCCTATGAGTCTGCTATGGAAGAAGTGGAGGACCCTGGGCAGGGTTCAGACTCAGAGCAGGGACCAGAGGGCTGGTTGGTCATCAGGAGGCATCTGAGGCATGGAGCAGTGGGGAAGATCAAAGGGAGTTTGCCCCTGATTCCAGGCAACAAAGTGTGGAGAAACGGAGGCAGCAGTTATGGAGACAGACTCATAAGAGATAATCAAGCCCAGGTGGTTGTGGNTGCTGATAAATAAATAAAGGGAGACTAGTATAGATCTATTTCAAGCTATTTAGCTCTCATCAGCTAGCCATACCCTTACAGGGATTCGAACCTGTTCTATATTACATCTTGGGCAAACGTCTTAGCCATTAAGCCACAAGTCTTCCCTCAGAAGCCCTTTTTTGGTCTAAGTTTAGTTTGCATTTATTTTTTACCACTAAAATTAAAACAATTAACTATATACAGTATACATATACATACACATATACATTAAAAACTGTCTTCAAGCAGCTTCCTTTATTTATTACTTATTATCTATGTCTTTTAACATTTGTATATTCACAATGATATTTAACATTTTACTGGGTTATAAAAAATGATACAAAATATGAAAGTAAATAGGAAAGAGGGAGAGGGAGAGGGGGAAGAGAAGGATAAGAAAAAAAAGATAAACATTTTCTTCCAACTCTGTTGCAGTAGAATTAGGCATTAACATCAAATCACAACTTTTTTGTTTTTTCATAAGAATATGAACAAGCCATTTCTATAAAGATCTATCAATCTAATTGGTAAAACCCAAAATTGAAGCTTCATTCTTTTCCACTTCAAGTGCGAAGTTCAGAAGTAGTCTCCATGTGGAAATAAAAGTACTTACGTTCTTTTCTTTAATCAAAACTGTCAATTTTGCTATTTCAGCCAATTCCATCAACTTCTGCAACCATGTTAGGAATTGAAGAATCCCTCCATTTTGTGCATACAGTAGTCTTGCTGCATATATAGTAACAAAGTTCCATTTTTTTCTCCAGATCTTTTTCCATGAGATCAAAAAGGAAGAGACTTTATTTCATCTTTATTTTCATTTTCAATTTTTTTTGCATTAAAATATGAATCCTTTTTTTTTTGCTTTATCACATAGTTGATAAAAGGTTCCTTCTTTATTTTTACACTTCCAACATTCATTTGACATATCATTATACATCTTAAATAACTTATCTGGTCTTAAATACCAATTATATATCATCTTATATAAGTTTTCTTTTAGATTACAATTTAATGTAAATTTTAAACCCTTCATCCACATATTTTCCCATTGTTCAAGCATCACATTATATCCAAAATTCCTTGCCCACTGAATCATACAATGTTTTACATATTCATTTTATAAATTCAATAACATTTTATAGATCTTAGCAATAATACGTTCATCATTGCCACATAATGAAAAGTCCATTTCATTTTTAACAAATTCAAACAAATAACACTTTTTATCAAGTTTAAATCTTTCTTTCAGTTGTTGATAAGTAAACCAATGGCAAATGTAAACTTTTTATTCAAATTCTTCCCTCAGCTTTAATAGTGGGTCACCCCAAATTAAAAGATAAAATTTTACCATTCATCAACCAGTTTGGCTTGGCCACCATTTTTTTTTGTAAAGAAAGCTTCTTGGCATGACCTCCAAAGAGGCAGCTTCATGCTTTATATTTATTCCAAAATCTTAGTACGGCACATCTAAGAAAATGATTGTTAAATTCAGCATTAAGTTTACTTTTATCATACATAAGTAGCCATGCCATCCAAACCTTAATTCATGGCCCTTTAATTCACTTCTTATTCTGGAGACTCACCCATTCTTTTGCCTAGGTCAAACAGAATGCATCAAAATACAATTTCATACCTGGTAGACCCAACCCCCCTCTTTCCTTAGCATGTTGCAATAGGTTATATCTAATCCTTGGTTTTCTCCATTGCTGCATGAACTTAGAAATATCTTTCTGCCATTGTTTAAAAGGATTATCAATTGTAAGTAAGATGCAGAAAACTCTAAAATCAAAACATTTTTCATATTTTTATGTAAAATAATTCAATGTGTTTTGCAATTCACCAACACTGGGAAAGCTTTAATTTTACAATGATTGGAAAAGGTTCACATTACTAAATGTGGACAATGATGATGATGATGATGCATTTTTGAAAGTTCAGTTGACTGTTTCATGTTTATAATGATGATGATGATGATGATGATGATGATGATGATGATGATGATAAATTTTAGTTACCTAGCTTCATTAAAAAGTCTACTCAAATTCATTTGCAATTTCCAGAAATGTTACTGACATTTATTCAAATATAACCTAACATGTAAAATACTATTCTACAATTCATTTCACACTCTACCTATGAGTAAAGACAGAAATGTATTCCATTTAATAATTACACATATTAAGTAATTAATATTAAGTAATTAAGTAATTACATTAAGTAAAACAAATATCCTATTTTGATTAATATTTTACTGAATTAAAATAAGGGAAATATTGAAAATAAATATTTTGTGCATATATTACTATCTTTTTCGCTTAATAAGTTGCTCCCTTTTGTTTAGCTCTGGCCTAACAATAATTATGTAACATTTGGGGAAATATATACAGCCTAGCAACCCAATACTTGAGGCCAAAATGGAGAAAACCTCCACAGCCACCATGTATTTGCCTTTGGTGCTCAGGTAGGAAGGAATAAAGGAGAGCCACACACTGCAGAAGATCAGCATACTGAATGTGAGACATTTGGCCTCATTGAAACTGCTGGGGAGCTTCCTGGAGAAAAAAGCTACTGTGAAACTGGCAGCTGCCAGGAAACCCATGTAGCCCAGGACACAGTAGAACATAATACCTGAGCCTTCTTTGCACTGCAGTATCATTTCCTCCATTTTTGAATGGGTGTCAATGTCAGGAAAAGGGGGGAATATGAACATCCACACAATGCAAATGCCTGCTTGAATCAGGGAACAAGAAATCACAATGGAGATAGCTAACCGTTTTCCCACCCATTTCCTCACTTTGGATCCTGGCTTGGTGGCCATGAAAGCCAGAACCACAGTGATAGATTTTGCCAACACAGAAGACACAGCCACTGAGAAGATGATGCCAAAGCTAACTTGTCGGAGGAGACATATTATATTGCCTGGTATAATGAGAAACTGCAGTGAGCAAAGGAAGCAGAGGAGGAGGGAAATGAGTAGAATGTAGGTGAGATTTCGGTTATTGGCCTTGACAATGGGAGTATGATGATACTTCAGAAATATTGCCAGTACACTAACTGTGCAGAAAGAAAAAATAAGTGCCAGAACAAGTAGCCCTATTCCTATTGGTTCTTCATAGGATAAGAAAGATATTTTCTTGGCAAGACATGAATCCCTCTCGTTGCTTGGATGTTGGTCCTCAGGACATTCTGAACAAACATGCATATCTGGAATTTAAATATATAATTTTTCTACATCATTTTCTGTGTTCTTTGTGTTATCATTATTAGGCTCCGTTACACAGTCAGCCAGAAGTTCAGTCTAGATTTGTTATTTTTGTCTATATAACCCTTTCTAAGGATCTGAGATAGGCAGATATGGATATTTTAGGGTACAGATATTGTCTCAGGATGCAAGCTGTATCTGTAACACTATAAATATCCATAGCCCAGAATCTTGGAAAGCACTCAATAGATAGAAAAAAATGCCAAATCCAGTGGAAATATCTGGTTGGCTATGCAACAGACCATAATATATTTATTATTTAAAAATAATAACAAAAAATGAAAAAGGGGCAAAACAGAAAGGTAACCATGGTAGCAATCAGTAAATTATCAAATAAAAATATATAACAAATGTTTTTAAAATGAAAAAAGAACAAAGTAAAAATGATCATTGTGCAGTATTACTAATATTTTGGTTTTCTAAGGGCTATTGCAATCACATTTTCTACTGTTGCATTTAACTAAGGAAAGATAGAGTGAAGTGGAGTGGAGTGGAGTGGAGTGGAGTGGAGTGGAGTGGAGTGGAGTGGAGTGGAGTGGAGTG